AATGACTCCCTGTGTGGAAGATGGACTGCTGGTTATGTCCCTTGCTCATCGTGATTCTGACACATAGGGCCTTTATGTGCTGTGTGGAGGGTGGCCCCTTCCCTCCTCTGCTTCTCATCCACACCCTAGAGGCTCCTATTCAGCCCGGGTCTGGCTGGGGGGAAGTTGGAGTCTTTTGTAGTGGGGGATTCTTGGGGGAGGCCATGAAGGCTGCGACTGTGTGAGCCTTTATTTCCTCAGAGAAGGGGGGACGGCAAGAGGGATACTGGGGGGTAGCAAAAGAGAGTTTGGACACAGACAGCCTTGTTAACCAGTACCCCCATAGAGGGAAAGGATGAGAGGGAGAAAGAAACAGGGAAAAGGCGAAGTAAAAGCAAGAATGAATTTAGAAGGAAGCCAAAAAAACGTTCCCTCCGTTACGTCATTGCTGTTATTCCGTTCCTCCTTTTCCTCCGCCTCCTCTTTTCTTCTAGTCCTCCTATTTGTTCCCTCCATCTGGTCATGTGTAAGCTCACTCTTCAGCTCAATAACAAGCTTTTGCCCTCCCCCTCACCTATCTTGGCCCTCTCTCACTCTCTGCCATTACTTTACACACATTCCATTATCTGGGAGACCAGGCAAAGAGAGATGTCTGGGGTCAGAGCGATCATTATCGTCACCTCTTTTCGCTGCACTGTGAGTTATAGTCCAACGTATGGGAAACAGACATTTAAATCATAATCAATAGAGAAACATCAATGCTGAGAAGGAAAAGCTAAAGGAAATCACTGCTGTGGCTCGGGAGGAAATAGAGACACTCTGCTTAAACTGAGATAGTGGCGCATGCTTTATGATAAAATATGATCAAGCTCCAAAATGCATTATGAAGCGTCATGCTCAGCACTGGCCTTTTTGGAAAAATATACTCCCTTTTGCTGACATTCAGGTGGTGCAATGATTGTGCCTGTTGTGGGAAAATGTGTGGAAATAGAAAGGTGCAGAGTTTGAGAGGTGACCCCCTGATCTCTGAATATCATATCTGCCACTCTACTATTGCTTCCGGCACGAAGCTCGAACACTGCAGAGAGGGGACGCTGTCATTCTGTTTACATTATCCGACCCTCTGGTCGCGTTAGCGTGATGAAAGCAGCTAAGTTCCTCATCGTTGACTACTGGACTACTTATACGTAATGTTTTGTTTGGCAAGGATGATGCACGGTGAAAGGTGTGACCTGACCCGCCTGTGACCAGACCACGGTCTGCCACTGCCACCCCAGCTGAGATCAGGACTGAATCTCTCTCTCTGTGTTGTCACAAGGAGAAAATACCAGCTCTTTACACAGAAAAAGTGCACCACATCACTGTCAAGGAAGAACAGCTTTGAGACATGATATAAAAACACATCATGTAATCAGTCAGGAGAAATTACAGTTCTAATATGCAGAGAAAGAGCGCAGAATCATTGTTATTAACACATACCGTGTGTTTGAATGAATAAGAAGCTGTCATGCAAATTTAATGTCTAATCCAGATGGCATGTGTAGACAGGTTAGGTTCCATATTTGGAAATCTTTGTTTCCACCACTGAGACAATTTAAGATTTGTTGACCTTTGTCAGCAGGGCTGCTTATATAACCAGTTTTCTCAACAGATCTTATTAAATACATTTTGGATTCAGCATACATTATTTAAGCAGGCTGGCTGAAAAAGTTCTGTTATATGACTCCTTTTCTCCAGTGCAGTTCAACCTGAGGGCATCTTCCCTTTTTTGATGTTCTGTTTCCTTCACCTCAGTTATTGAGACTGAATAGAAACAAAAACCCATCCCACATTTAATCTACAGTTTGTTACAGAACTCACAACAAGCAACATTAATAATGTTACAGAGAAAATTAAATTAGTACAATTTGTATGCACTTTGTTTTTCAAAGCACCAGATCAACTAGAACTATTCACTAGTTAATGATTATTTTATGTTTGTTGAATTAACTTGAATGGGACACTGTAATTGTGTATACTGCTTGTGTCAAAGTTAATCAGTCAGATCATTTAAAAGAGAATTTGCATATTGATTTGAATTCAGGCAGCTAACAAAGATTGATATTATGTGATTACAGTTTATAATGATTGGAAAGCGGCACCTAGTGTACAGTATATTAAAAATCTCAATTGAATGTCAGGTTGAGAAGCACAGTCAAGCACATAACTAGCCTGACCAAATAGTTCAGAAGCTCCGAGCTGCAGCACAGAATCCCAAGGTCCTGTGTAGGTGTGAGCTGTGAACAGACAGTGCACTTCAAATCACAGTTCATGTTCAGCCAAACCCCACGCAGTGCTGAAAGCTGGGGCTCAACCATAGATCTGGAAAGCTATAACCCAGACTCTAGAGACAAAGGAAAAAAATTGATAACTCAAATCAAAGGCAAAGTGTTGTGTGAAGTATGTGTTGTTATTTAACTAATCAGAGTGTGTTAGGAACCTTCTTCTAGGAAATTAGACCAAAAGTCCGGAGGTGATGTATGCGGTAGATGATGGACATTTAAAAAATCCATTAAAAAAGGGTCAAACACCTCCAGAACACAAACCCTGCTATAAAAGTAAAAACAGAAATAGCCATGCATGCAAACAATTACTTTGCTATCTTAATTGCTTTCCAAAGAAAACAGTTTCTGTCACCTTCCCAATTAAAACATAGCCAGCAGCTATAATAGATGTATTTTTAAGTGATGCCTGCGGCATGACTTGTTGTCTAGGATATTGGATTCTATACCTCTACATTTTAATGAGTAGTTTCATTTAGAGATGCAGAAGAATCAATGTGCTTAAACAAAAAAAAAAAAAAATAGACTAGAGCACTGAGAAGTATTTTATTCTGGCAGCTGGGGATCCACTTCTAATCATTTACATTTCAGTCATTTAGTAGTGGCTCATATTACACTACCAAATAGATAATGTTTACTATATAGTTTCAATTAGGCTAAACTGTTGCATAGAATCCCTTGTACATGCCAGGCTCCTGACATTTCTTAACCAATCTGACATGTACTTGGTGAAGTGTGAACCATTTCGCAAATGAGAGTTATTCTGGGAGCGTCACATCTCTTCCTCCCCACAGCACCCAGGAGAGGGTTGTAAAAGCTGTTGTCCTTTAGTTATGATGGAACACAAGGAGGAGCTGCTAAAGGAAAAAGAAAAGGCAAAGCTCTTCAAATGGAGTCCTCCTTTCTCCTCTCTGTCTGTGTCTGTCTCTGTTCCTCTGCTTCTCTCTCTCTCTCTCTCTCTCTCTCTCTCTCTCTCTCTCTCTCTCTCTGCATGTGCCCTGCTGCTCTGTCATCCTCGGGGATGCGTCTGAAGGAGACCATCTGTTGATCCATTTGTCTCCTGCTTTGCTTCCTGTGCCACCGCCTCTCTCCTATCAATGATCAGGCCTGGCCTGTACCCTGCCCACCCTCTTTGTTGCTGCCAACAGGCACTCGGGGTGAGGCGGGTGTGCTGCTGGGGGTGGAGCAGGAGGTTGTGCCCTCTATAGTCTCTGATTCACACAAAGAGAGAAAATAGGCTTTGGCACATGTGAATCCTTTTTGTACATACTCTCCATAAACAGCTAATGAGCCTGGAGTAGTTCTTTTCCTATCTGTGTTTATCTAAAGTGAGCATTGCTGTGCCGACCTGAAACAAAAAACATAAATTTGATCTTTTTTTTCTGCATTGTTGATATAGAAATATTGCCTTTCCCCCTCAGGACTTAAACGCAGAGAGCTCATCATTATATGGAGGCATAGACCATGAAATAGATGTTAGAAACAACGCCGAGATGCAGAGGGACCATCACTGGAGGCTTTCAAATGTTCACCATCAACACATTTATTGCTTGTGAAGTGTTTGCTGATGTTGCCATTAAGAGAGAGGGGTCTGGGGTTCCATGCGTGTCTCCTAGCTGACACCTCTCATGCCTGTTCAGGGGTTTGATGGACATTGAGTCCACCTTTGGGACTTTGGGGATTGCTTGCCTTTGATCTTCTCCTACTACTCTCGCAGGGATCAGGCCCTGGAGAGCAGCTGGGAGAGGGTGGCGTGTTTAACATGAGCTCTGATGTACCCGAGAGAAACTCATGGTCCAGCCCAGACATCATTTAGCAGATTACTCAGACACGGACGAAAACGATGCCCAGATAGCATCTGTTGTGAAGACTGAAAGTATGAGGCACTACAGAATGCGAGAGAGAATCAAAATATGTCAGAAGAAGTAACTCAGTCCATATGGATGTTGTTGCATCAGAGTGATGGTCAATCTTATTATCATGACTTTTTTTTTCCTGTCAGTGGACTTTCCATAGATTTGTAAGGTTTTCAGCAAGACTGCTCAGTAGATCTGATTATGGGTTCACCCGGGGAGACTGGCCATTGATTTTCCATAAGGTGCAGATGACATGTGGTCACACACACACTCTTATTTTACCAACAGCCGTGTCATCCAGTAAGTCGTGCTTTCACCGCTGCTGTCACTTAGCGCGATGGTTCTTCTGAAATAATCAGGTTGGAGGTGATAACCCGTTGTGTTGCCGGTGTACATGGAACATAAATAGCTGACATACTGCATTTGAAATTTGAAGAATCCCTACTTTTAATTTTTTAGCTCTCATTTCAGTTTAGTATAACAATGTGATTACTTTGATTTCCTTTCTCTGTGTGAGTTTTAATCTCTTAATATGTGTGTTGCAGGCTTCCTCAGTACTGGTGATCAGGCTGCTAAAGGGAACTACGGGCTACTGGACCAGATCCAGGCTTTAAGGTGGATCAGCGAGAACATCGGCTTCTTCGGTGGAGACTCCAACCGCATCACTGTGTTCGGTTCTGGGATTGGAGCTTCCTGCGTTAGCCTGCTCACCCTCTCCCACCACTCTGAAGGTACAGCACAGCAGGGAAGGGGGGTGGGGTGGGGTTTGTCAGGTGGGTGATTATAGCTGTCGAGTTCATGCCTGCTGGTGTGTAGGCTGCTTGATATTAGAAACTGCCGATGCAGGCCGCGAGTTATTGAGTAATGTATTCTACTGTACTGCACAGCACAGCGAATGCTTTAAGACGGATGTGTTTGCATTTAAGTGATTGTGGCATTCATTCCCATTGGGAAATTGAAAGCTCACTGCAGATATTCATCTCCACGCGGGTTGTGATGTACTCTGTTTGTTTACTAGTCTCTATGTCCGACATAAACATGTACTGTAGGTATAATGCATCTTTATAAGCAAGATAAAAAAGGACATGGTGTACTAGTGTACCAGGGAGAGCTCTTTAGCGGCAGGCATAGTCATGCTAAACTACACACACACACACACACACACACACTCAGTTCTCTTTGTAAGCAACACTGTTTTTTTTATCTGCTGGCTACCTTAATGCTATTTCATGATGATTTATTGTCTACATTGGCCATTTCTCAATACTAAGTGTGCCATGTGTGTTGAACTTGGACATGTTATAAACATCCCTTATGCTCCTCTAATGCATCATTCAATTAAGATGGAGCCTTACTGCTTATAGGTAAGTTCTTGCAGTAAGTACATTGTTTTATGAGAATGAACCGCTGCTTTGAGCTCTATCCATAAATGTCACCCTGCAGAGCCAAATGGTCACCTTAACCCAGAGTTATTACAGTCAGTCGTATATTTGCCCATCAGTTTAAAAGCTGGCTGTTTTATTCCATTTTGTTGTGTATGTGTCAGGCCACTAGGATATTGAGGTGTTGTTATATAGCTATGGTTTTCTACTTTGCACATGTCCTGGTAATATTCCAAATGAGAAATCTTTACCTTCCATCATGCTTAGCATAGCCTGCTTCTCGTCATTAGGTGTCTCCATTCTTGGATTTTTGAGTTGTAGATCAACGCGAATTTAAAAGAGGTCACTTGAGCGGCTCTTCTTAAGGCCCCATTACAGTACCAGGGATTTGTGATGTGTTTTGCACTCTACAATTTGCATTAAAGTGTTACTAATTGCCTTGATTTCCTCCGATGAATGATGACTGCTTTTGGATTGAATTTTTACCATAAATGCCTTTTTATTCATACTCCATAATGCTACGCTCCATGTAGCATGTTATTATACTGACTGTGAAACCATCTCCACTGCCTCCCAGTAAATTGGATATTACCGGGTCTGTTTTTTCCCCTGAATTGAAATGTATGCCCCACTGATGGGATAAAAAAAAAAGAGCAAGTAGAACTTGAGGGATCCTAGGAAATTGAAACAGGAAGCTTTCTATCACGCCAGGACTCTCGCTGTGAATTTTACCAATGGCAATCAGATTTCACACAGTCTCTCTTGGAGCACAGATTGTTGTAATTATATAAAGTTTAGGACTGGAGTGGGCTGCAGGATGTGACAGGAAATCCAAGTGAAGAACTCTCTTTTTGCACCTGCTTTCACAACCTCCGCTGTACTCTGCCCCTCCTCTCCTATAGTCTTAACAGTTGAAGTGAAAACTGGTAGGATGTTCTTGTTGCCAAGACAACGCCATAAACAAGACAGAAATCAACGTGTCTAGATTCACACTGCAGTGAAAATTGGAGTAAAAATCTATAATCAAATGAATTATACACTGTGACATGAGCACACCTGGTTTCAGGTGGCCTCTAGTAATGGATGTGTGTAATGATTTCCTATCCATGTTAGCAGACTGTTGCAACTCAGGCTCATATTGAGTTTCCTGCTTTGCACTCTGAATGGAAATTAAGTCAGGAAACAAGACTGTAAACAATGTATCCTGGTGGCTCCTCCCTCATCTCCTGATTTGACTTTTTATTCTAACAAACTCATAAAAAAATCTCTATCTGCAGATAACGAGGTAGTGGTGTCACACTGAATGTGGCATGTGTGAATTCTGGAGTAGTAGATGGTGGTATATGATAAAATAGAATAGGATTCATATGTCTACACATGCACACACTTGCACACGCTCACACACAAACATTTCCCTTCACCTGCTGCTCAGATGTAGGACAACAAGGTAAAAAAGAGAAAGTAAATCAGCAATGACACACTATTCTGGAGCTCCCCCAGTGTTTCAGTGTATTTAATGACAGTATTCCCATTCTTACTGCACATAGTCTGTCATCACTGCCTACTGAGCCCAGACTTTCCATCTAACAGAGACTCCTTTTATTCCTGTTGGTGGCAGAGTGACAACTTACTTCAGATACTCCATGCTTCTCCTGAAGCCCCTTTAATAAGTTGGATTCTCCTATATCATCCTAGCCCTCTGGCCTCTTTCTTTAATTGCCTGCTCCTCTGGCCTGGCCTTGGTGGCGTGTCCATGTGGGCGTGCCAAGGGCTCCAGTCACAGGGTACATCCATCACCAAGCCTCCCCTGTCTGACCTGCGTGGAGACTGAACTGGACGTCCTTTCACAAGGGCTGGGTTTTTAGACCCCTGTCCCTGCCCTGCTTCCTCCATCTAATCTGCTTCTCACTGTACCCATCTGTCTTCCTGCCTTCACAGACAGTCAAAGCATGTAAGACACACATGCTTTCTTTCCGTGTGCCAGGGTGTTTCTTTCCCTTTCTCCCACTCTGGGCTTCTGCTCCCTAGTTTGCAGCATGTGTGGTGCATTGCTATTAATAAGATGGCTGCCTTGTCTGCTATGTGGCAAGCAATCTAGCTGCACATCTGAGACTTTGGAAGCAGAATGGTCATTAAAAGCGCAGTCTCTCTCGGCAGGAGAGTGTTTTTGACTAGCTTATTAAATGCAGCTCAACAGTTGTGCTCCCACAAAGGGGAATCACTGTCCCCATCTTCTTTTTCTCTGGCTTCAAACGGAAAACGGCTACAGAAGTTCAAAAGCAAGGGCTTTAGCCAGTCCCATGTATTATCTTTTTGGCATCGCACAGCCGCTAATTGAACATACAGATTTGGCTTTTTCCCTATCTCCTAATAATCGTTACAATATAAAAAGTGAGATGGCTTCTCTGCACATGAGCAGAATACTAAGTAGCCAGTGACTTAGGTGCATATTTGTACATCTGTCTTTTAATGCATGTGTGTCCCAACACAACTTACAGGAATTATGTCCGCACGTGTCTGCATCAGTTTGCATATCCCAGCCATACGCATGTGTGCATGCAGGCGTGTCTTTGAGGGAAGGGCTAGTTGTAGAGGCACTGAAGGTCATTTGATTTCTTCCCCCCACCCCCCCTTCCTGTAAGCAATCAGGATAAAAGCTCCGCTTCTGAGGAAGTGGCCCCCTTTTAATGGAATGTCTTGGACATTAAAGACAACTGGTGTGGAGGATCCTTCATGCCAATGTCAGCTTTCATTTTTATTAAGACTTCTGGGTTATGGAGGACCATAAATGTGCATGTTAAATGCTTGGGTTTTATTACAACAGTGTAACGAGTGCCAAGACTTTTTAATGCAAGGCACCACTGAACAAACACTGAAATCCCTTGAACCATGAGTATTAGAAGGGCAGTGTGACAGGTACTTGGTTTTCAGGAAGAGGTAACAAGTTTTTGAATCCATTTAGTTTGAAGGATAGTATTATGTGTAGAATTGCATCATGGGATATGTAGAAATAGAGGATCAGAGAGGCTGAAAAAAAAATCACATGGCATGGCAGGACATTTTTCTCAAATCAAGTTTGAAACATTAACTTTATTAATGGCTGCTCTTCATAGTGAACTACTTGCCATGGATTTTCTGGATTTATGATTCATACAGACTTGGAAAGAATGTCACTCTGAAGTCACAGGAACATTTGAATGACTGAACACTTTCCCTCAGCTGACTGGGAGGGAAACTGGGGCTTCTGTCAGAGTGACTTGGGTATGATGTATTGGTATAACACAAACTGCCATGTCCTTTATGATCATGTATAGAAGTGATGTTATGGACAGTAGTTGACCCACCTCCCAACATTTGCACTGAATACAAACAGCAACTGTGTTCATGTGACAGGCAGAAGTGCAACTCCGCCAACATTAACGACAATGTACATCACATCTCCAAGCTTTATGGACTTTCTGCATTGAAACACAAACATGCTGTTATGACTGTGAAACCCTCATTGTTTCATTCAAGCTTATATAGAAAAACATCATGGTTGGAGTTAAAATCTCCTTCCCAGTCACAGTTATAATTAGCCATGGCTCAAAGACCATGATATAACCTGAACCAGCAGCATTGTGAGCTGTTGCACCCCTAAAATATTATATGTGCAACTCATTCATTTGGAATCAAAATGGCAATAAAAGGCTTAAATAGCCTAAACTTGCTGTGTATGACACACATCTCAATTAGCTTTAGCTTCATGTTAACTATTACTGTACGTTAAACTCCAGGAATTTGCACAGACTTTACAAAAGAATAATCCCATAGATATATTTAGTCTTATATTTAAATTTAACAAAAACTCAGTTTAATAGCTACAGATTATTTTACACTATTTAATTATTTTTTTCTACATTGATTACAACATTTATTTTGTGCTTTTTTTTTTTTAATTAATCACATTATTATTCCACAATTTTCTTCATTATCACTTGGCTGGCTAACTGATAACCAATAAGTAATTTTTAAAATGTAACCTGGGTAAAATATTATGCATCATAGTTAAACTTCCTTGGAAAATGTATTTGCTTTTGAATGATAGTTACTGTGAATAAGTTGATTTCATATTATCAGTAGGGTTAAAAGATGTATAGTGATGTATTTCATTTATTTTGAAGGTTCAAATTGTTGTGTTGTGTGTAAAATATTGTTGTTGGTCACCTATTGGTGGAGGGAGTGACACCCAGAAAAAGGAAGAAAGGAAGCGGTAGAAAGAGGTAACGGGGTGAAGAAAACATGGGAAGAGAAAAAAGTAATGGAGATGTGAAACGTGCCAAGCATAAGGACTGTATTTAGACTATCAA